ATTCTAAATTCTATGCATATCCGTTCATATTTGTCAATATTTCATTTGAAGTTTTATTTGTCATAAGAGTTTAGCAAAATGTAAGATAGTAAAGGCAACACCGCACCCTGCAGCCCAGTTGACAAGTACGACAAGCTGTCAAGATTAGGGATGTTTAGATCCACGAAAAGTATCGATATGTATCGATTCTTAGGAAGTATCGATACTCTAAAATATTGGAATAACATTATCGATATCCAGCGGAAGGAAACAAAGAAAAAAAGTAATCTGAAGTTAGTCACTCTTTAAATTTTCATTTGCATTTTTTCAAGTGCTGTGCAACGATTTTGGGAAAAGTTCCTCGTATAGTCTTATAAAGCATAGCAGAGTATATTTCAACAGTTGGCGGAGCTTACTCCACTGGGACCAAGGGTTGACGGATCCCACACATGGGTCACTCGCTGGGGAGTTTTGAAATGTAATAATCCGTTTTTATTCAAATAATGTCTAATATAAATATAAACTAGAATATGTACTCAGTGAAACAATAAAGATATTGCAAATTCTATTTTTTTGCAGGTTTTAAGTTTGCCGGTAGCTTTACGAGTATTTCTTAATCGCTGTAAATATAGTGTGGACGTTTGTTCAGTTCCTGAACAACCAAAAAATATTTGACTTTATGGATTTATGGATATCAAAAATCCTGAATGGTTTTGTGGGAATATCAATCGACGGTGCTAAAATGGTACTGATGAACGGCATTTAAATGAATGAATGTTTGGAAACGAGCAATATCTGTGAAATTTTTGGTAGAGCCTGTCATCAAGTAGGTGCTTGATGTCTATCTGCAAGAGGTTTATAGGAAAAAATACACGGTAGGTGATGTTGAATCAGTAAAATCGCATATCAATTTTTTAAATTTTGGAACTTGAAGCTCATTCGCTGTATTTGACGGACTCTTACCCTATAGGTGGAGAATAACGGACTGTTGATTTGACAATCCTGGTGAAATCCACCCTTAGTGATAAACTGACACAGAGTTGCTGCTTATTTGTGCCACAGTCGCTACCAAAACCTAAAAATATAGCGTTGATGTTACCACTGATTATTTTCAGTTAATTTACCAATTTTTACCAGGACGCCGGCTGTGTCTCGGCAACGGAATTGGTTAAAAAGTTTCATGATAAAAATGACCAAAAAATTGTTGGAAATTATTTTTAGCTTCCTAAAATTACAAACACAACTGAGATAAAATATGTGGTATAAATGAAGAAATAGTATTTTTCATTTATTAGGCGATAGCTACGTCCCCTAGCGGTTTTGGAAATGCTGAAGTAAAATATCTCAAAATGGTGTCTTATTGGATATTCTACACTATTCGTAACATAAATCCTTCTTATCCAGCACTACCTTTGTAATTTAACCCTATTTCTTAATATGTGTATATCTCTATAAAAAATAAAGATGTTGATGTTTTCACCACTTTATAAGACCTTTCATTCACTGAAATTTCATTAAACATTTTAAAAAACACTGACATCCACAAAGCGCTATCTAGCGGCCACACACTGAACTAATCTGACAAGATTGAACATTTATTAGTAGCGCAGGTTAATACTCTTTCAAAAGGAAACAAGATCATCGATATCACTGTATCCAAACAGAAGTTATGTGACTTTTTCTGAAATGAGATTGAATCCTTCCCTTGCCGTAAACTAACCAAAAATATGAAAAAATGACAAACAGAGTTCTGAAATTGAATGCTCAACACGATTAAGCTATTTAATGCTATGTTAATTATGAATTTTGCCAAAATAATAGCGTTTTAATGTTAGAAATTGCCCAGCGGTCATCTTACGAAGCTGGAAATAACTCCTAGCAATAACTCTTAGACGTTTTTACCATAAGCTTCCTTTATTATTGGTCAACCCGGTACAAATACCTCATTGTTAATCTGTTGATGATGGTTAACTTTAACCAGAAGACCATCCACAGGTCAACTAGAAAGCTTTCATTGCCTAAACTCTTTTGCTTGACAGTGACAGTGACATGAGTTGTCACAGATGAAGCGTTGTCAGATCAACAGTTTCGGGTTATATTCTAATCATATTAGCAAATTTCCCCGTAACAATTGTAAAGTCTGGTTTTATTGGTGCAAGTATTCGTATTCAAATCATGAACGCGTAAAATGGGTACACCGATATTCGAAAAACATACATTACTATACACATTCTAAAACAAAGCGGATGTCTATCATCTTTTGTTGGGAATTACAAATACGAGACGTTCGAATTTGTTAGACGTAACACGTAACCCGTCCTTTTTTGTTATAAAAATAACATTCGTCTTCCGCAGTCGTTTGCAATTCATATCGGCAAGGTAAACTACGAGCCCCTTCTCACTTCAGTTGGCCCACTTCAAGATTTGTACCAAAATATGCCTTTATAAACTAAACATGACGAAACTGTTTACTTCTAAAACTATTTATTTTCTCAAAAACATTTTAGATACACTCTAGTCGTAAAAAATACATATTTGAAATCACTTAGACCTATAACTAATAGAACATCTGAACAAATATACAATGTGCGAATAAATGTGCGAAGTTAACAGAGCAACAATTGAAAGATTACCATTGAGTAACATCACCTTTATTTTTTATTACGGCTGAAATTCTTTAGGGCATAGTGTTAAGCAAGTTTTGGCAAAAATCTGGTGTAAAACAATCCCATATTTCTTGAAGCTTTTGTCTCAGTTCTGTGATTGAACGAGCACAATGTTGTCGTAGAACCTTTTCCATCTCGTGCCACAAAGTTTCAATAGGTGACAGATCTGGACTGATAGAAACCCATTTCAAAAGTGGTACATTATTTTCTTCCATCCATTTTATAGCCTTTTTTGAGGTATGGCACGCTGCACCATCTTGCTGAAACACAAAATCTTGGCCAGATGTCAAACATTCTTCCATCACTGGTAAAAGCGATTCTTCTGAAATTGCCAAATATTTGTTTGTTTCCACATTTCCATCAATAAAATGAAGTTTCCCTACTCCTTTTGATGACATACTGCCCCAGACCATAATGGATGCTGGAAATTTCACTATTCTCTTCAGACAGTCAACATGGAATGCTTCATTTTTTTGCGAATAACTCTACTGCGACTGTCACCAAGACAAACTTCGAATCGGGCCTCATCATTCCATTGTATTGCACACCATTGTTGAGGTGTCCATTGTCTATGTTCTTTAGCCCTTCTAAGCCTATTTTTCTTTTGCAGTGGAGTTAATAGTGGCTTTTCTTTGGCCTATAAACAAGTTGTGCAACTTTAGGGTTTTACTTCACTTTTTTCATAAGAAAACTTACCTTGCAAGTGCTTAATCCCAATTTGTGGGCCTCTCTATGAGTTGTGAACCTCTAAATCCTCCTTCCAACACCGTCACTCCACAGAGCACTTAATTGTAAATAATTATTCTTCTTAATGCTCTTCGGTCGGCATTTGTGATATTCCTTTTTTTCACATATCGTAGCTTAATATTAACTGAACCAGTCACGTTATATCTTCTAACAATATTTCTCACACTGTACCGCGTTAAGTTTAACAAAGTTGCAATTTCTGAGTTTGATTTCACAGAGTTAAAGAATTAAATTATCAGTAACCGAGTTTACTCACTAATAACCTTTTCTCTACCCATTTTGAAAACCTTAACTACCCAAAACTATTTTAAACGTATTCTGACAGCTGTGATTAATAAAAACAATTGCCATGGCTTTTATTTTTCACAGCCACCTATGCGTTATAGACTTATTTTGCATTGAAATGAAAATAGGTTGATATGCTGTAATTGCAACATGTGTTATTTTTATGCTGCAAATTTGATTAGGGAGTTATAAAGTTGTGTGTTTTCTACTGTATATTATCAAAATATTCATTGTTAATAGTTTAAACCTATAACACCCTGCTACATTTTTATTATTTGTGTTTGATAAGAAAAAAACTAAGATTTCAATAGTTGGGCCAACTGAAGTGGGAAGGGGCTGGTAGTGTAATTTGCTATAAAATGCCCTTTGAACTAACCCTGTATATTGCTCAGTCTAGTGATGGCCGAAAATCAGGTATTTTAGAAATTCTCAAAAGCTACTCGACAAATCTACTCCAATTTTATTGAGGTTATTTAAAAGTTTGAATCATACGGATTTGAAGAATTTCAAGCAGTTGCGTGAAATTATCGTCGCATTACCAACAAGTGCGAAGACCTGCAGTTTGTGTCGGTTTTCAGCCACAATTTTTTTGCTATTAATCGGATCTTTTTACGTGTGATCTCATTTTGTAGGTCTCTTAAATACCTAAACATCTTATATGAATCAACACTTTCGATTGAATCCCAAAAAACACGTTTCCTCATTCTTTGTTGTCGAATATAAAGTTTTCCGACAAAAATCGGTGTACCCATTTTATGCATCCATGTTTTGAATACCCCCTTGAACAACTTGCAGCAATAAAACCAGACTTTACAATTATTTCGCAAATCAGGGATATTTGTGTCTAATATGATTAGACTATTAGTGTACCAGAACTTGAAAACGGAAATTACGGACAAGTTACAACTTAGTTAGTTACCAAACTTGAAGGTTAACCGACGACTAAACAATTAAGCCTAACAGACGTAAGTACTGCTTTTGCACAAAATAATATTCCTAGACGATTAAAGCCATGTCTATAATTTCGTAGGTTATGTACAAAAAAACAAAATTTATGGAAGTTAGAAGTATCGTGCTACACCTGTGAAGTGCCAATGCTCGTGTATGTATACATATTTTTCTCGAAATAATAACTTTGTAGATACGGTGAGAGTACAGCGCTCTAGGCCTAACAAGTGAACTCCGCACACTTCAGTTTCACTTTTAACTCGAATATCGTATGTCGCAAGCTAGCTGGTGTGGACACAGCTTTGTTTCCAAACCCTGTCTAAAGAGGATATCTCCTGATATATTTTTTAATGATAATAATTCTTTATTATACAGGTGACCTAGTCTGATCTAAATAATAAACAAATACTCAGAGACACTGTACAAACACTTAGCTAACAAACAACTTTTTAAAAATGTCTTGAACTGTTCCAAGGAAGTGCATAGTTTTACGTCATCGGGCAACTTGTTGTATACAGGGTTATCCAAATTAAGTGTCCACCATTAGTAACTTTGTTATTAGTGAAAATACAAAGTTGTTTGAATTAGCAAACTAGTAGCATTTTTAACGCTGGTAAAAATGTGAAATAAAAAAAAACAATTGAGAGTCGTTATTTTGATTTTTTTCAGTAAAATAACATTTTTTTAAATGGAAACCCCTGTATATTATATTTTTTTCTGTTAAAGCATCAAATTTTAAACAAAAAAGTTCATAATGACTTTTCCGCTAAAGTCAAAAATAAAGTCAAAATAACGATAAATATTTTTAATTATTTGCAGTATTATAATATTAAGACGGCTATGAAAACAACATGGCGTTCGCGATTTGACAGCATTAAGATAAGCGACAAATTGTTAAACTGGACATACTCGCAACTAGAAGGCTTTGGAAAACAATGATAAAATCAAATAATGTCAAACATTAGTGTAAATACTTGTTTATAAGCTGTATTGTGTCATTAATTTAAAGAAAAATGTTCTCCCATGAAGAAAAGTGTGATATGTTAGAATGCTATTTAGTGTGCAGAAAATCCTCCTTGAGAGCAAGATAATACTACAGTGAATTATATCCCGCTCGCATTCAACCGTATGAACGATATTTTCTGAGACTTTATCGAAAATTTAGGGGCAACGAAAATGTTTTTGCTAAAACAAGGGCAAAAAAAGAATTCATAATAAGCGAGGCCACGGAAATTGCAGTTATTGGATATTTTGAAGCTTATCGTGAGAATTCAATAGCAGATATTCTGAAGGACTCTAATTTCAGTTATGGTACTGTTCAAAGGATTTTAAAAAAATACAAATTTATTCCGTATAAGTACCGACCAGTTCAAACGCTTTTGGCAGGGGATCCAGAGAGAAGACTTGTTTTTTGCCATTGGTATCTTAGCTTCTGTCGCCAAAATGTAAATAACTTTCGTTACCTTTTATGGACAGATGAATCAAATTTTTCAAATTCTGGAATGTTTAATAGAAAAAACCACCATTATTGGTCAAGAGAAAATCTTTTGTTAGTACATCCAAGAGGCCCACAAGTCCGTTTCAGTTTCAACGTTTGGTGCGGTATAATTGGTTCAAAAATTGTTGGCCCGTTCTTTTATGAGGGAACCCTAACTGGTGAAAGATATGTGGAATTTATGTCAGAAATTCTGACTAATTTCTTAGACGAATTGGATCTTATAAGTAGACATCATCTGCATTTTCAGCAAGATGGCGCACCTGCCCACAACTCCAGAGGTACTTATCATTTTCTAAGTACTACTTTTAATGATCAGTGGATAGGAACAAATGGCCCAATACAGTGGCCTCCCAGATCACCAGATCTAAACCCACTTGATTACTTCTTGTGGGGTTACTTGAAGAACCAAATTTACAAGCGAAGGTACGATAACCTTGACGCGTTAAAGACTGCAGTTAGGGAAAAGATAACCCAGATAGATGGTAGGACCATACTTAAGACAGTTCGAGCAGTTGAAAAACGTGCCCAAAAATGTATTGAAGAACAAGGTGGTGTTTTCGAGCATCTTCTTTAAAAAAAATTGTTATTGTATTTTGTAAGATTATAAGTTGATGTTGAAAATAAAGTTTGTCGATACAATTTAATTGTTTCAGATTGGAGGCCATAACTTCAACAATTTGTAACCTAGGAGAAAAGTTATTGTAAGCTTTTTTGTTTAAAATTTGATGCTTTAACAGAAAAAAATATAATATACAGGGGTTTCCATTTAAAAAAATGTTATTTTACTGAAAAAAATCAAAATAACGACTCTCAATTGTTTTTTTTTATTTCTCATTTTTACCAGCGTTAAAAATGCTACTAGTTTGCTAATTCAAACAACTTTGTATTTTCACTAATAACAAAGTTACTAATGGTGGACACTTAATTTGGATAACCCTGTATGCTTGGTCCCAAAACACTTGGCTGCTTCCTACCCTTTACATATTTTGCGAAAGGCACAATTAAATAATGCAGACCCTAAGGCAGCTTAAAAATCGATTCTGCATTTGTGACCTATTTCAGTATTAAATATCTGCCATTTAATAATTAGTTTTTAAATTGTCCGATCAGGAAAAAATATCCTACTGAATTGGTCAGCTTCACGCATAGATTGACTGCTAAATTATGATACAACCTCAAGCTAAAGGGCACAATCATATCACCCCGCATGGAATTGACCCTTCTGTCGCTGACAGGGTATGCAAGGGATGCGACTCCCGGTGAATATTTCTTCCTTTGCCATCCCGATACATAGACATAACTCACGCAGCGCGCGACGTTTACGCTATACATAAATTTGAATTTGCACGGGCCTAGGCTCAATATTGCTCCACGCTCAGGCGTACCTGGATTTACAGAGATGTCTCCAACGATTTTTGGATTTGCTTTACGGCACACAGATTTTTTACCTGTGAAAATCAGGGTTTAAAACGATTGATATCAGAGCATCCTAAAGGGAGTGTCATAATACCTAGGTATTGCGATAACTATAAAAAAGTTAAAAACAACTCTTTGTAGTCCTTTATGTAAAAAAGTTTCACACAAAAGTTACGAGGGATCTCTTTTAAGTTTTGCATATAGAAACATAGTAGGCCGCCCGGATCGAACGTGAGTACTGAATCTTAACCTCACTCTTTAGTAAACTTAAATTCAAAGTTTCACAACAATGTGTTCTCACTACATTGAATTTTTAAGTGTTACCAAGTCATTAGAAAACTGTAACTCAACCGAGAACATTTTCGCGCCCTAATTTATTACAAGTTTCAGAGACAATTATCTCAACAAGAATGCCTTGCTGAGTTACTGTCTGTTTGCGGCAACGAAGCGCCACATCAGCCGACAATTTCCCGTTGGTATGGAGAATTCAAACGTGGACGGGTGAGTTTTAGCGACGATCCCAGAGTGGGTGCACCAAAAACGGCAGTCACCCAGGAAAGCGACGATGCTGTGCGCAAACTCATCATTGAAGATAGACATGTGACATATCGCGAGATTGAGGCGTCCTTAAAGATCTCAAAGACCTCAAATCAAAAAATTTTACATGAAGAATTAGGAATAAAAAAATTAGTTTCTCGTTGGATACCCCACCTGTTGACTGAAGAGCAGAAAGCAGCCAGGGTTAATTGGTGTCAAAAAACGCTTGACCATTTCAATTCCGGAAACTCAAAAAATGTGTAGAGCATTGTTAGTTGTGATGAATCGTGGATTTACTATTATGAACCAGAAAATAAACGACAGTCGGCTGTTTGGGTGTTCCAAGGTGAAGAAAGGCCCACAAAAGTCTTCCGTTCTCGAAGTGTTTCGAAAAAGATGGTCGCGACATTTGTGTCTAAAGCGGGTCATATTGCAACAATTCCTCTTAATGAGCAAAGAACTGTTGCTGCGGATTGGTATACCACCATTTGTTTGCCAAAAGTCATCACCGAGCTTCGAAAAATCAACCCCGAAAGAAGAATTGTCCTCCACCAAGACAATGCAAGCTCGCACACAGCCCAAAAAACAAGGCAGTATTTAACGGAAGAAAACGTGGAATTATTGGACCATCCTCCATATAGTCCCGATCTAAGTCCTAACGATTTCTTTACTTTCCCGAAAATTAAAAACAGACTACGTGGTCAAAGGTTCCAGTCACCAGAAGAAGCAGTTGACGCATTCAAAAATGCCGTTTTGGATCTGCTAGGAAACGAGTGGAATAAGTGCTTCGAAAATTGGTTCGAGCGCATGCAAATGTGTATTAATCTTCGTGGAGAATACTTCGAAAAACAATAAAGTCATTTAAAACTACCTACCGTGTTGTTTTATTTCTATATGCAAAACTTAAAAGACATCCCTCGTATAGTATCTATGGTGTAATATACTTTTGTGTACAGGCATCTGAACAAAGTCGGATATAGTTGTATTTGGAACACCCTGTTAGAAGGAAAATGGGCGTCAGCGGGAATCGAACCCGCATCTTTTCCATTCCGTCCTTAGCACAAGCTGCCAACCAACTTTCAGGGTCGACCGTTATATACCAATCTTATCCACGCCACTGCTCCTTCTTTTCTCAGATGGGGCAAATATCGGTAGGTACGCGATTTGTCTACTCAAAATATCTTTCCAAGTTTTGAGGGCAAATGTACAGGAAAATCCACGATATGTGCATTATAATAATAATAATAATAATAATAATAATAATAATAATAATAATAATAATAAATGCCTTTATTTCCAAACAGTTCTCAAAAAAAAACAATCAGAAAGAGAAACATGAGTATTAACCAAAAGAAAGGAAAATATAAAAAAAATAAATAATAAAAAATAGCACCTGCTATTCCACCATCTAACCCCGTACAAAAGTGAAAAAAAACAAGTTATACAAAAACAAAACAAAAAAATGAAACTACAAAGATTAAGTCACAGTATAATAGGACTATTTATGCCAATTTACCTATAAAAAGCAGAAGAAGAGATAATAGGTTACATTATAATAGGACTATTTGTGCCAATTTAGCTATAAAAAGAAGAAGAAATAATAGGTTATGAAGAAACGGAAAAATAACTAATGAAAAATAAAAAAGTATGAAAATGAAAGAACTTCTTAAGCTAGCAGTTGTTTTGCAATCCTTGTAAATATATTTTTAACTGAGTTTTAAAACTCCGGAAGGACTGGAAAGTCTTCAGATCCTGGCTTAAGCTATTATAATATAAAATTGCATTGTTTGTGAAAGTTCGTCTAAAAAATGTTGAACAGCATGTAAGTTTTAAAAAAAAATAAGATAGAAAAGTGAAACATGTGGTAATAAATTAAAAAAAAAAGAAAGTCTAGAATAATATATAGATATATATACCCATACATACCGCATAAACAAACGCCAATATGAGCGACTATTAAGTTTGAAAAAAAGAGCAAAGAGAAAACGTGGTGGTAAATGTAAAAGTCTATAATGATATACAAATACGTCCATTTATGCATCATATGAAAAAAAATATAAATAAAATAATGGAAGGCAAACAAAATAAAATTGAAATTCCGCAGTAAGCATAATTCTACTTTATACATTCAAGGTAAGAATCACGCAAAACCGCTTTGAACTTGTGAATTTCATATGATTTGAGGTACTGGGGGATAGGATTGTATAGCTTATATATATTATACGTAAATGATCTTTCATAAAATTTAGTTCTGTGGAATGGAGCGGTAATGTTTTGTTTCGAACGAATATTTACGGAATGGATGTCTTTTCTGAATGTTATTTTCTCGTAGAGGTAATGAGGCTGCCTGAGAGTTAAAATTTTATGATAAGCATATTGTGAATATCTCAAAACGAGCCTTCATATTTAGCCACCGGAGTTCTTTCAGCTTATGACTAACTCTTTCAAATTTTCATATGCCATATATAAAACGTATGCATGAGTTCTGTGTTCTCTGTATTCGCATGAATGTATCACAATCTAAACATGCTGAATAAATTGGAACACAGTACGAAAACTGTGATAAAACCAAGGTTTCGCAAAGAATTCTTTTGATGCCTAAATTGAGAAAATTTCTGTGAGGATACAATAATTTTAAAGCCAGATAAGATTTTTTGATACAGTTTGATATGTGCTCACGAAACCTCAGATTAAGCCTAAGTTTTTAACTTTATCACAGTATTTTAAACTAATATTATTTATGATTATATTTAAATTCTCAATCACATACGAACCGTCTTTACCAAAGATCACAGCAGCTGATTTATTTGGATTTAATATTAATGAATGCTCTTGCAATCTTTTAGAGAGGTTAGTTAAGTCACTGTTTATTTTCAACTCGGCAGCTGGCCAATCTGAACTAGGAAAAGAACAGTATAGCTGGGTATCGTCCGCATAAACATGTGACTTACAGAATTCCAAACATTTAAGGATCTGACTCGTATATATAGTGAAGAGCAATGGTCCAAGTATAGATCCTTGCGGTATACCTGTGATAGTGGGCTTTGAACTTTCATTCTTCAGTTGTACACACTGTGATCTGCCACTTAAGTATGAATTAAAAAGTTTTACGCTGTCAGTAGACAATCCACATGACTTTAAGATAGACAGCAAGACATCATGGTTAATTGTGTCAAATGCCTTGCTGAAATCTAATAGTATTAAAGCGGTAGACTCACCCAGATCATTCGACTGAACGATATCATCAGTTATTTTAACAAGTGCAGTGATGCCGCTGTATCCTGGATGAAAACCTGACTGTGTTTTAGCAAGGATACTTTGACTTTCAATGTGTTCTTAATTGTATTTCAATAATTTTTTCAACCAATTTCGAGAGACCAGCTAGAATACTTATTGGACGAAGATCTGATAGCTGTTCAGCTTCCTTACATTTTGGAATTGGCACTATTAAGGCCACTTTCCAGCACCTTGGATATTTTCCCTCAAGAAAAATTGTATCAATAAGATGTACCAAATATCGTAAAATATACGGGACACACAATTGTGTGTCTAATAGATGCGTAGAACTACCAAGGTTAGGAGTGTACAATAAAACAACATCAAAAAATTGAGATATATCCTCTCCTACCCCCTAAAACTGCCAAATCTCCAATGTTTCTTCCTCTAAAAATTTTTTAAAAAATCATCAGAGTCCTCCGAAACATCAAAACTTAGTATACTAAGTGACATATAAATCCGAACACCCACTTTAAATGGTTTTATTTTAATAAAAGTTGGTGAATGTATTTATCTTACTGTAAATAACAAGTGAAAAAATTTTCAGCCTTATCAGTTGGACATTCCGGTTTTTATACTGATTTTTTTTAATTCACTAACGCTCTAAAAATGAATACTTCAGCCGCAGTAAAGAATCAACGTTGGCGGATTTTGGTTCTTGACATCCTTTACTATCGGTTACGATGCCTAGAGTACGGAGACCTGTACGATTTCGTCAACTTAGTGAGTTTGATAGGGGCCGTATAGTGGGACTTCGGGAAGCTGGACTTTCTTTTCGGGCAATTGCAGTTAGAGTGCAAAGAAGTGTAGACACTGTGGTTAGGTATTGTCAGGCATGGCTTCGAGAAGGCCGTACGCAAAGAGCAAGGGGCAGTGGACGCCGCCGTAGAACAACAGACCGTGAAGATCGCCGCCTTAAGGGACCGTTTCTCCATTACCAGGTCCATTGCAAATTAATGGTTTGCAGAACACGGAAGACCTATTGGCATGCGAAGTGTTTACCGACGAATGAGAAGTTTTGGCTTGTTTTCATACCGGCCACACTGGGTTCTCCCTTTAACTCGAGAACACCGACGTAATCGCCTTGAGTGGTGCAGACAACGGTCACTCTGGGATCAGGAATGGAACAGTATTGTCTTTAGTGACGAGTCTCGATTTTGTTTAGGCATGCACGATGGTCGTGCCAGGCTTAGAAGGCGACGTGGTGAAAGGAGGAATCCACAGTTTTTTGTTGAAAGACATGTTCATCACACTGTTGGAGTTATGGTTTGGGGTGCTATAGCTTATGGTTCCAGGTCACCTTTAATCTTCATCAGAGGTAACATGAACGCGCAGCGTTATATCCACGAAGTTCTAGAACCCCATCTTTTACCCTATCTTGACACCCTGGCAGATCCAACTTTCCAACAAGATAATGCCCGACCACATTTTGCAAGAGTCACAATAGACTTATTTCAACATAATGATGTCACATTGTTACCATTGCCACCAAGATCTCCCGACTTATCCCCAATTGAGCACGTGTGGGATATGATGGGTAGGAGATTGCTCAATTTGCAACGTCCTCCTCAGACTCTATAAGCACTTCGAGAGGAGTTGGTGGTTGCCTGGAATGAGATACCACAGGAGGACATTGACCACCTGATCAGAAGCATGCCTAGGCGCGTTGGAGAATGCGTAGCACATCAGGGTGCATCCACACATTATTAAAGGTCAAAGGGCTTTAAAGCAGTGCAACCATTTTGAAATTTTTATCATTTACTTATTATGCTTCATTAAGTACTTATACAAAATTTTATTAAAATAAAACCATTTAAACTGGGTGTTCGGATTTATATGTCACTTAGTATAACATATAAGAAACATAGTTTCTCATCTCGCCAGTAGACATTGTAAGTCAAAGTTATGAAGGATATCAGCCACTCATCTGCGAAACATTTCTAGGAGCTCGTAGGGAAAAATTGTAAATGAGATGAGCGTGCTTGAACAGTCCCTTTTTGTTTCGGATTAAACTTGATGTATTCCGGTAACTGGTAAACTGATCTTGGAAATTATCATTTAAACTGTTCAGCATCAATCTTCCTTTTCTCGTTTATTATATCTGAGCGGTATTTCATTTCATCGTCGAAATTCATTTTTCACCAAACGTAATTAGCCACAATTCGTTGCCTTCATCCGTGGGTGAAAATTCAACAGTGGCACGGCGTTCTAGCGACGCACCCGACGTCCTCGTAATAAACAGCAATTAGTGAGAGCTGCGAATCTCAACAAAAAAATCGGAACTAACGAACATAGAGCAGACAGACTATTCAAGATATTTCCTAAACAAAGTAAATGGTACAGGGCCGGTTTTTGCGTTCTTCAAAAGTTGCTCAGCGAATATGACGTTGTGATACATCTTCGTTGCCAACTTTTTTTTGACAGGAACAAGCTTGAGACGAAGATAGATCGTTGCTTATAAAGTTACGGGCTCAACCTACTTGACGCCACTTTTATTGTAATCAAGTGGTATAAGCTTTTGGTAAAAGAACCGTTCAACCATAAAAGCTCTCTATTGTTGTCGCCTGAACACCAAAATGCTGGCTTAATGTTGTGTGGAATGCAAATTTGCTTTCTGCAACATATTTGGTCTAAAATGAGGTGTTTAAAATATTCTTGTAGCATAGTTATACAACACCTTATAGGGCAAATTCTTAACTGTTGCATAAACGTTTATACAACTATTTTATACGGCATATTTGCAAGTTAGTCAAAATGGTTGTGTTGTGGCACCTATGCTAACGTTTATAAAACAAACCCGAGCCTTGTTGCTTTGCTGTGCAATTTACTACATTAGCCAACAAATTGCTCCCAACGGAAGCACTTATACAACTGTTACATATGCTAAATATGTTGGTAAACAACTTCACCATAACCTAACTTTCTGCTGTCATATTTTTGTTAAAATGCCATAACCAATGTTTTAAGACAAACAACGCATGCATATCGGTTCAAAAGGTTTTATCAACTGTTCAAGCAGAAGATATAGATCTGGTACAAATGCCGGGTAAAAATGTAAGTAAACAAGATGACTGTATTGTGTTAGTTATATATTCTTCACTTCGTCTATACAATACATAAGAAGTAGTTTGGTTTCAATAAAGTAGAATCACGTAACAGAATAGTTGTATAGTTGACAAAAACTGAATCTTGCACTGACGCAAATGTTCTATAGCGGCTGCAAGAGGCTTACACTTTTGTTGTATAACTGTTACCTGCAGCCCTTATACCTCTTAAATGACTGAAGTGTCCTATTAGGTGTGCCCATTCCGCTTGTATAGCTGTTCTAAGAGGGTTTTTCCAATGTTCTTACCGTATACAATGCTGTGTAAGGAATAATGTATAATCATCCTTGCAATTCTAATAGGAGTGATAATTGTTAGTTGGGTAGTTATATATTCTTCACTTCGTCTATACAATACATAGGAAATAGTTTGGTTTCAATAAAGTAGAATCACGTAACAGAATAGTTGTATAGTTGACAAAAACTGAATCTTGCACTGACGCAAATGTTCTATAGCGGCTGCAAGAGGCTTACACTTTTGTTGTATAACTGTTACCTGCAGCCCTTATACAACCTCTTAAATGACTGAAGTGTCCTATTAGGTGTGCCCATTCCGCTTGTATAGCTGTTCTAAGGGGGTTTTTCCAATGTTCTTACCGTATACAATGCTGTGTAAGGAACACTGTATAATCATCCTTGCAACTCTAATAGGAGTGATAATTGTTAGTTGTAATATTCTTCACTTCGTCTATACAATACAAAGGAAATAGTTTGGTTGCAATAAAGTAGAATCACGTAAGAGAATAGTTGCATAGTTGACAAAAACTGAATCTTGCACTGACGCAAATGTCCTATAGCGGCTGCAAGAGGCTTACACTTTTGTTTTATAACTGTTACATGCAGCCCTTATACAACCTCTTAAATGACTGAAGTGACCTATTAGATGTGCCCATTCCGCTTGTATAGCTGTTCTAAGAGGGTTTTGCTAATGTTCTTACAGTATACAATGCTGTTTAAGGAATACTGTATAATCATTCTTGCAACTCTAATAGGAGTGATAATTGTTAGTTGGGGTGGATCTCACAATGTTTCCAAAAAGGGAAGCAAATGTGGTTGTAAAACTTCGTGGGTATAGCGCTGGGCAGTCATGCTACCTCGATAACACCGAGAGTGCGATGAATATGTCGTTCGATGGAATATTGAACGTTCCGTCTTTCACCACGTCTCCTAATTACTCTTCTTATTCATTACGTGTGCCCGAACAGAATGTGAACTTATCGCTGAACAGGACTGAGTTCCATTCCATATTAAATTCAAGTCTCTCCCTACTCCATACCAATCGTTGCCGATGATGCTGTGGGGTCAGAGGTAATATAGGCGGTGGGTACGGTATGAAAACAGTCCAGAAGAACTTATTCGGCGATAAACTGTCATCATTGTTATTCCTTTTCTGGCAGCATCAAACCACTGGTTCGCAACTGCCCTTGTTGTGAAAAATCGTTCTCTAAGTGCTAGTTGCCTCAAACAACGATCATGTCGCCCTGTAGTCTGTCTTTGACGTCCAGTACATCTAGCTAATCGATTTCCGCCTTCTTGTGACCACGCTCGACAACTTCTCATTACAGTAGCTTCATTTCGATTCACAAGATTTGCCATTTCTCCAGAAGAAAATCCGGCTTCACATAACCCCATATCCAACCCCTCTCAAACTCTAAAAGTTGGATGAAATTAGCGCGTCTGAGAACAATAGGCATGATAGTGCGATGAAACATCGATGAAACAAATTGAAACAACACAAAAACACTGAATAATAAGTAAACAAGTTCATATTGTTCGTATCCTGATATGACAAAAAAAGCCTTTACAAAAACGGCTCGAAATGCTTTCAACATATACTTCCATGATAGCAAATATGTTTACAATGTTTTATCAAAATTCAATAAATAATTCTGGGTGTTGCATTTCATATGTCACTTAGGGCCAATTTCATCACTATTAATTAGTTTCGACCAATGAGAAAAGCCCTTATTGGAATGCAATTTGACGGAAGCTGTCAAAGCTTTCTGAATATCAGTTATTTCTAATGAAATGTTGAATGCAGTCGTGAAAAAACAGTTGACTTATAAATAAGGGTACATTAGAGATGTAATATTATGTCTTTGTGCTTTAGAATTAGGATAACTTTCATTCAATTTCAAATTTTTATCATTTCATAAAAGTCGGTCAGTTATCTAAATGAACCAATGAAAATGAGAGAAATAATAGGCAGATTTTCTAGATATTATATTTGGTATGATGTTTTCACTGTTTTTGATGACTGTTCATGCATGGCAATCTAATTCTGTGTGTATGTCACGTACAGGGTGTTGTTATTTTGCAAAAAAAAGGATATAAAACGTATTCCAACTGGTTCATCATCTTTTATTACATCAATTTTGCCAATTTATGATCTAGAAATCCACACCAAATGTAAACAAACAGCACATTCTGCATTTCGGGGTCCTAAAGCATCAATATTTGTGTATCCGCATCCACCTGTTATTTATCGTCTAGATATATAGAATCAAAAATACCTATTTATGAAAATATATCTCCAAACATTGTTTTATTTTCTTGTTATTTCTATTATTATAACATGTCTGGGATATCAATTGCTTTTAAAGTCATCTGCACATCTGCAGTGTTGCCGAACCGGCAAAACAAACGGAATCGGTAAATAGTGTCGTTGAATTCGGTATAAGGTAAATGCCGTCCCAAGATCAGTGGTAGATCAAGGACCTTTGAGTTACGAAAAACGTCTGTTATTGTGTTGGGCACGCACACATGTTTTTTGATGGCATAGTTCTATATTACAGCTTCTACAATGTGCATACTGGTCGCTCTTTCAAAGTACTTTGCAACCATTCTGGAAACTCGTTTTTCGATACTTGCTTATAGGATTGTGAATATTTTTCTGTTTCACCCCTGAACTCATGAACTCACCTCTCATTTTAATTAAATATTTATTTTGAAAACAGACAAGTTTCGGTTTCTTTATTGCTTGCCCGGTGATGAGGTAATGACAGTAATCTACCAGTCTGTACCTTTTGTATGCATAAAAACCAATTCAGGGCAAGCGGAGTAAGGGATGAGGATGTGCGTTCGTAATCATAGGCAACCCAAATCTACCCCTCTCATGTGCCCGACTGCTTGAGTGTGTATACATATGTATGATTGATATGGGGCATAAAACTATGAAGACTACATAAAATTAACTTTTAGCTTTATTTTTGGTTTCAGCTCTGAAATTTGCAACATGAATTTATATTCCTAATTCTATGCATATACGTTCATATTCGTCAATATTTCACTTGAAGCTTTTATTTGTCATAAGATTTTAGCCGCACCCTGCAGCCGAGTTGACACGAACCACAAGCTGTCAAGATTAGGGATGCTCAGATCCACGAAAAGTATCGATTCTTATCGTTTTAGGAAGTATCGATACTTTAAAATATTGGAATAAAATTATCGATATCCAGCGGAAGTAAACAAAGAAGAAAAGTAATCTGAAGTTAGTCACTCTTTCTGACACAGTCCGGATCAAAAGATGACGATACTCGTGAAATGCATCGATACACCTAAGTGTCGTATATAAAAATATCGATTCAAAATATCGGGTATGTGAAGCAAAAGTATCGATACTTCTAAATATAGAATCGTATCGAACATCCCTACTGTCAAGATGTATAACCCGAGGTATCGACGTCATGGAAATGATTTTAAAGTTTCATTTGCATTTTTTCAAGTGTTGTGCAACGATTTTGGGGAAAATTCCACGTATAGTCTGATAAAGCATAGTAGAGTATATTTCAACAGTTGGCGGAGCTTACTCCACTGGGACCAAGTGTTGGCGGATCCCACACATGTGTCACTCGTTGGGGAGTTTTGAAATGTAATAATCAGCTGTTATTCAAATAATGTCTAATATAAATATAACCTAGAATGCGTACTCAATGAAACAAGAAAGTTATTGCAAATTCTATTTTTTTCACCTTTTAAGTTTGCCGGTAGCTTTACGACATATATTTTAGTATTTCTTAATCGCTGTAAATATAGTGTGGATGTTTGTTCAGTTCCTGAACAACCAAAAAATATTTGACTTTATGGATGTATGGATATCAAAAATCCTGAATGGTTTTGTGTAAATATCAATGGTACTGATGAACCGCAAGTAAATGAATGAATCTCTGAAAACGAGCAATATCTATGAAATTTTTGATAGAGCCTGTCACCAATGCAAAGAGGGGATAGCAAAAAATGTGGCAAACTTTAAAGCAAGTTGTAGGCAGCAAAAACCAGAATGTTCTGTCATATGATAATATTGAATTTGAGGAAGATGTTGGATCTGTTCAAGAAAATTTTAACAATTTTTATGCAAAAGCATAAATGAAATAGCCGACAAAATACCAAAAGTTGCACCGACATTTCAAGAATTGCCACAGTTAAGTGATGGTCTGTCAAGCTTCAACACTATAAGCATTGATCAACTTAGAAAAAGGGTAATGGAACTTAAAAACAAGTCAACAGCGGATGATATTTGTAATGTTAAGTTTTTGAAAACGGTTTTTTGTGTACTCGGATACCCTTTGCTTCACTTGATCAATGCATCCCTTACAACAGGAAAAGTTCCAAAAGCAATAAAAACCAGTGTTATACAGGGTGACTTCGAAGTTGAGTCATTTATTTTAACAGTGAGTAGATCTGATCAAAAGAAATGTTTTTTTCCTTCACCATTTTTCTGGTAAAATTAAAGTAACAAAGTTATAGCCCTTTGGAAGCTTGAGTACCGCCCTGTCTCAATAATAATATTATGTGCTCGTGTTTGGCGACAACGGATATAATTCGCCTTATCGGTTCATCGCATCGGAAACAAAAAAGCGAAAGAATTTGGAACGATGTTTTTACAATTATTTCATTCAGTTGCATTCAGTCAGTGTCAGTCGGTAGTGGATAGTGGTGTCTGTTGCGTGGCTCAAACGAAATAAAAAATGGCACATGTTTATGCGGATCGGTTTCCCAATCGAGTGCAACCAACCCCTCGTGCCTTTGTTAATGTAGTACAACAGGTTCGTGAATCATTTGACTTAAGACCTCACATATGGACGGCATGCCGGTGCTCCAAGACCTCACGATCAAATACAGGTCCGCACTGAAATACTTGTCGGGAGGATACTTTATAAAACAAGGTAACGTTTTTTTTTAATTTTTTTTTTATTTTTACACACATATTTTGGTTTATCTTCCTTCTACAATAATTATCTGAAAATTAATGACTCAACTTCAAAGTCACCCTGTAGTGCCTATTCCAAAAGTGTCCACACCAAATAAACCAGCACAATACCGACCCATTAACTTGTTATCAGTGATAGACAAAATCTTGGAAACCGTGGTTTGTGCGCAGTTACGGGAGTTTCTGGAGGCAAGAAAACTGTTGTTTAAGGGACAGTCGGGATTTCGAGAAAAACAACAAATGGCGTTCATACATTCATGACGGGGGAATATTGTGTTATGTGTATTCATCGACCTTCAACGTGCATTTGAGACTATTGATAGGAAAAGACTGATCCAGAAATTGCAGACCTATGGGATTACAGACAGTGGCACTAAAATGGTTTATGAACTACTTGAAAGACCGTTGTCATGTGACGAAGATTAATAACGTGGCGTCAAATTCAATTGATAGTGAAATTGGGGTACCTCAGGGTAGTGTGTTGGGCCCGCTTTTGTTCCTGCTTTAAATAAATGACTTGAACAGGGTTTTAGTAAATACATTCCTGAGCTTATTTGCAGACGATACATTGCTTTATGCGTACGGTAAGGATTTTAGACAAGTTGTAGATACTATGAACACAATACTGGAAATTCTGTATAACTGGTTATGTGTGAATAGGCTTAAGTTGAATCTAGAAAAAACAAAATACATGGTTCTTGGGACAAAGCAGAACTGTAATACATTTTTAGAAAATAAATTCTGTATGGAGATAGATAATATTCAAATTGAAAGTGCATCTAGTATGAAGTATTTGGGCGTAGTTTTAGATCCTCAACTAAATTTTTCATTGCATGTTGATTATGTTAGTAAAAAAATTGGGAAAAAAATAGGATTTTATAGGCGAATATTTGAAAGTCTTAGTCACTGGAGTCGTCTTCTTGTATATAATACCATCATATATCCACATTTTGATTACTGTTTTTCATTGTTGATATCATGCAAAAAAACTGATATTCAAAGGCTCCAGTTACTACAAAATAAGGCTATGCGCACTATATTATTTTGTACACGTTATACGCCTATTAATTTAATGTTAAAAACCCTCGGATCGCTTTCAATACAGCAAAAGGTTGAAATGTCAAATGTCTTATTTATTTTTAAAAGAAAAAATCATTTATTGCCTGAATACTTGCAGGAATATCTAATACCGAGGTCCGAGAGGCATGCATATAATATCAGGTCACGTAACACTGTTGACATAGAATTCGCTAGAACATCCCATATACAAAAATGTCTTTTTAGTGATGGTTTGAGACTTTTTAATGCATTACCTACAGAAATTAGAGATGCGACGTCTCTAAATATATTTATTCGTAAGGTTAAGCAATTGTATCTAGATAAAATGGCATAATATATGTACTTTCTGTGTCAAGATAACTGTATGTCATTATCTCGCATTTGCTATTGTTGCATTTACTGTGGTTGCAGTTACTATGATTTTAATGGAATCTAGAATTACTGTTTTTTTTGTATATTACTGGAGTAAGACACTATTATAGACTATAGGAAGTAGCTTTAGGGTTAAGAATAGTAAACATTTCATTTCAAGTAGGTGCTTAATGGCTATCTGCAAGAGCTTATAGGAAAAAAACACAAGGGGTGATGTTAAATCAGTAAAATCGCATATCAATTGAAGAAAATAATATAAACATTAATAAAAAATCAACAATAGTAGTTAAAACATGAACTTCATTCAAAAATCAAACATTTCTTTAAATTTTGACTAAACCATATGTAATTTCTTAATATTCAATAATCTGGTGATGTTTCAATGACAAGCTGTCATCTCATACTTTGACAGTATTTTGTTTTCAACATTTCACAACTATTGGTTGCTAAAATTTGTTGATTGGAACTTGAAGCTCATTCGCTGTATTCGACGGACTGTTACCGGTGCAGAATAACGGACTGTTAATTTGACAACCTTGGTGAAATCCATCCTTAGTATATAATTTAATATTAACAAGTCTAGTTGGACAGATCGCAATAATTGAAATAACTTTTGCTTTTTTAATATAAATATTGAAACTTAAACACGCGAGTAAATTAAGATTTTAAAAATCTTCAGTTATTTGTAAATTGAGTGCGTTATTTTTGTCACCATTTTTATTTTGGTGATGAGTATGGGGAAGTAGGGGGTCGTGAAGAATGTTTTTAACAAAAAAGGTAGCGCGTTTCAGATAACTTTGGGAAACGCTGCTCTTAAAAACCGCTACTGTATTCTATAAAATGATTTATCTTCACTATTCTGCTTTAAAAAGTCTGAACCTGCAAGGTTCTCCCGCCAGTGATCTTACTTTTAGTAGTATGTATGCCTTGCTGGGAGTTTGGTTAGTCAGTTGAATTAAATTTACTCTGTATGGGGTGACTCCTTAAACAAGTTTATTATGCAAATTACTTCATAGTGAACAAAAGAGCGCCGTCACGTACAGTGACAAGTCACTTACAGTTCCTAACTATACGGGTAGGTAAATAAGGCAGAGATGACGTAGACTGAAGAAGTTGTACCCTGGAAGTGTACACATATATAGGGCGTTGTTTAAGCATTGGAGAAATAGTTTGTGAGTTGACAGTTCTGGCACTATTTTATCCTTTGACAACTTTCGTTTCGGAGACACAAGGAAAATAAATTTTTCGAGAAATTACATTTTTCGAATGGCGAACATAAAAAAATATCTTCTTATCAAAGTGTCTGTTATGTACTTTTAATTCCTTTGGATAATTGGGATAAATCAACAGGTGTTAAAAAATTCTTTACTCAAATTGCCAACGTTTTGGCTCTGCCTCTAACACGGCTTTGTTTTAAAATGTGTATAATAACGTATGTTTTTAGAATACCGTAGCGAATCTGTTGTTACTTACAAACACGAAATTTATGAATTTTCTAGGAGAAAAAACATAACCCTTCGTTTTTCGCATAAAAATAACAATTATTTTTCTGAATAGCTTATGATTCATGTCGGCAAGATAAACTCATGTATTTTGCTATAAAATGCCCTTTGTACGAACCCTGTATATTGCTCGATGAACTAGTAGTGATGGCCGGAAGACGGGTGTTTTAGGATAAACAATTAGAAATTTCTCAAAAACTGTTCCACTTTAACGTCGCATTAGCAACAAGTACCGAAACCTGCGTTTTACCTCGGTTTTCGGCCACAACTCTTTTACTATTAGTAGCATCTTTGTACGTGTGGTCTCATTCTGTAGGTCTCATAAATACCTAAAAATCTTGTTTGAAGAGTTTTTCGTTTCTGCCAACACTTTCAATTGAATCCCAAAATAACACGTTTTCTCAGTCTTTGTTGTCAAATAAAAAGTTTTCCCACAAAAGTCGTTGTACCCATTTTATGCGACCATGTTTTAAATACCCCCGTGAACAACGTGCATCAATAAAACCGGACTTATTATATTATATATATATATACATATATATTATTTCGGGGAAATTTTCTAATATGATTATACTAGAATTAAATAAAATTGTAATAAGTAATACCAAACTTGGTTATTTTCGCTAACTACACTTGAAGAAATAATAAGACGCTTGGGAACCTCTTCACCCTTCTCGAATCCCTTTTTTTCGTAAAAATCAAATAATAGAACAAATTTTATTCAAATCGGACTATCGGTTCTTAAAATATCTTAAAATGTGTTTGTTTGTTTGTTTAAGATTTATTCAGCATGATTGCTAATAATTACATTCTTCTAAAAACTGAAGAATTCCATAACATACCCATTCAGAAAAAAAAACTTTGCATCTCTAAGAATTCTCATTGCCCATGAAATATTCCTTTAATTTTCTTTTAAATATCTTTAGTTTACTATCAATATACACCTTAGGAAAAACCATTGTTATACATGGGAAATCATTTCTTGGCAACAGCGCATCGGCTCGTCTACTTTCATCGCTATTCGTACATATTTTCTACCATTAACCGCAGACCTGTATCACGAATGAGAATAATAGGCAGATACGCTGTGTTGCCAATTTGAGTAGAGCTTCCCGAATTGTGGGGAATTTAGAGTTAAGTGTTGATTCATTCAAGCTTTTAATCAGCATGGCCTAGACGTTAGAACTTCATAAAGATAACATTGAAGCTGAATGCTGCTGGAGTATAGTGTTTCGAATATTTAAAGCGGAGCGGGACACTATCCTCGTTCAATGGGTCATCAAGCCACAGTCTTTTCAACAAAGAAATTATTTTACGAAAATGCGTTATATTTTTACGAGTTTGTCGTCACCAAATCTCTGTTTCTCAAAATGTACGTCTATTGTAGAATTTTCAGCAAACTAAGCAAGAAACGTGATCTAGTATTTACCCAACATTACGGATTTCTCGAAATACATTAAAAAATGTGACCTAGATACCTAACTGCCCCAAGCTCTTTAAATATAATACCTTAAACCAGGGTTACTAGGTGCTCAGTCACGTTGATTGTCATGTTGTACTGCGCAAGTCAGCAAACAATCTAGCGTAATAAACGTTAGGAATCATCAGGTATTGCCAGATTCCCGAATACCGGGCACCATAGTGACCGTTATAGTTGTCCTTCAAAGTTGTCAAATCGCCCCTATGGCGCAAATTCGCCACACCAGGCGACTGTGCTATAAACAAACCCTGTTTATCACTACTATTTGATAGTCATATGGTAGTTGTAGCCCTATCTAGCGGTCCATAATTTCTCTCAATACTGTTGTATCTCTACTGGCAACAAGAATAGGGATTACAAAATCATTTATACAACAATATACAAACATGAAAAATATGATTTGAACCATGAAACATTAATACAATTTTAATAGTTTGAACTTTTTTCATTTTTGGAATACTCTTATGTGGAATCCGCAGCTATTTTTCCCGAAATTTGGGTAGACTTAGATTTCTTAGAAATATGACATATTGGTATCGGCAACTCTGCGAATGGGAGAAACAAATCGCATTTGTTGAGCGCATCGGTCTAAGCGGTAGGCGCCAGCGCCCGTTCTGCCATCTCTCTCTTTTATCACTCTTCTACTTTACCCCGTTGTCCGTCACACTCCGACGCTGCCACATAGGATCCTACAATCGAGTGTCTTTCACGCACCTACATACTTTTGTATATTTCCATCTCTCTTCCTCATCATAATGTATAATAATGTTTTTTCCCAAGGTGTATATACCTAAATATTTAATTGATTCAACATTTTCAATTATTTCTCCATTTATCCTAATTTAGGTATTTCCCTATTAGCATACATTTTGTTTTAGAAGTATTCAATTTTAGTTTATTTACATTTAACCAATTTATGATTTTTGCCAAGTCAGAATTTAGCAGTGTCTATATTTTCATCTGATATGTATATCTATGTATCATCTGCAAAT